CTTCATTAATCAAGTTATCCTTTCTTTGGCAATTTTGATGTCTGCTGGTTGGTCCTGGTGATGTCTTCCTTCTGTTTTACAGACTTGCAGAGTGTTTTAAGTCCTACCTAAAAACCTTAATTCTGGTTAACATTAACTTGGATATGGAGATGATTGAGAGTGAAGTGTTGGATGCACTGTCAAGATTATCAAGACAACTAGATCTTGTTTTACAAATCTGAATAAGAGATGTCCGCTGAACTATGATGACTACAGGACTAATAAAACAGTATCTTTAGACTTTTGCCTAATTTTTTTAAAAAAATATATAACTTAGCTAATTGGTATGCATTCCAATACAACTACTATTTTTTCCTTCATATAGCCCTGCTCCACCCCCCCCATTTATTAGTAAAGCTTTTGGCTTCTTTTTACCTGGAGAAAAATGTGTTGTGACGTTGTGCCACAGTATCTGCACCTACCTGCACCCCCCATGAAACCATACCTAGCTTTGCTTTAGAGGCTTAATAACTGTAATTGAGCCACCTTGATAGCTTGGCTGGATTATGAGATGCCATGGAAGGAATTGGGACAGGGCAAAGTTTCCCTTACAAGTCCTCTGTTGGGTGAGGAGAGGGGAATCTTAGGGTGGATATTCAGTTAATACCTTTTGGTTCTTTTGGAAAACGAAACAGTCAGCTCAGGCCCAGCCTCACTCCCCTCATCTGGGATTGAGAACAGCTTGCCCACTGCTGATGGGATCAAACCAGTCTGATAAACCTATACAGAACATACTAGAAAAGCAAATGTGTGAATGCTCTTTCAGGGGCATCTACCCTGCCATCGATTTGCTTCATTGTAGCACTGATTTTTAGTTCATTTTGCACGCCTCCTTTTCAGTCTGTTCCAAGTTCCTGTAAGGAACAGTGGTAACTTTATCTTGCTTCCCCCAGGCTAGGGACAGAAGTTGCGCACAAACCGGTATAAGCGATCAGAAACCAGTTCAGATTTCTAACACAACAGAAGTTCAATGTATATGAACTGCTTTTAGAATTTCTGAAACCTGTTTAAGGCCATTAGATGGATGTAGTATCAGACTTAACTGATTTAGGTTCAGTTTTTTGAAATTTTGTCCCAGATTCAAGTTAACTTGCAGTCCCCTGGCATCCCAGGATGCTTTGCACCTCCTCTGCAACCCCTTTCCCTCCCCCACCTTCATAGGGTGGGCAGGCTAGCCTTGGCCCAAGCTGTCTGCTCCAGCCTAGCAGGGATGCATGCTCTAGTGCCCCCCTGGCTCATGGCCTGGGCTGCTGCAGGCATGTGGGTGCATTTCTGGGATTAGAGTGAATGTCCTGGATGTCTATTCACTTGTGTAGATTGAACAGGTAAGCATCTTAGATTAACCTGCAAAGATTGAATCGAATCAGTCTCAGGCTTTTTGACTGTTCGGATTTAGCCTCAGAGGCTATGGGTCAAGGTTCTTTGAACTGCAGCCTGCTTATCTCCCTTGTGATTCCTCAAGGTGGTACTAGCTAAATGCTGATACTGGGTGCAAGGTCCAGTCAAACGCCGATACTGGGTTCAAGGGAGTCTTGCCTATTGCTTTTTTTTTTTAATCGCAGTGTTGTCATTTATTTCTTGTTCTCTGATATCTGGCCTTGCATGATGCAGTTTGACCTAGATTTTTACATCAATAGGCATTGGCAGTGTTGGAGCCTATTGTGAATTAGGCTGTGTGTTAGCACTGAGGAAGGTGTGAGCATAATATGTATTTAATGTGCCAGTCAGCTTGCAGACCATTATAAGTGCCTGGTTTTGTTGGTGCCTGATCTCTGGCATCTCAGCTAAGCTAGGGAAGCTGGCACTCATTTTTAGCCGTGGTGTGGCTACAGCATTGCTTCCAAATTGGCAAGCAATCAGGCTGTTGTTACACAGTAATATAAATGTTAGAGCTCTGCCTGCACACCAGTCTTTGCTGTTACTGCACTGGTGAATTATAGGTCCCTGTTTTCCCCGTTGTAGTCAAAGCTCTAGACAGGGCAAAATAATTTTTTGCATCATTAAACACCATGTGACTGAGATCTAGAAAAACACTTGTGAATTGCTCTGAGTTTGCTTTTGGACATATTTACTGTCAGCACCAGCCACAACCAAAGTGTTCAGAGGATTTATCCCTTCACAAGTGTCTTTTAACAAACAGAGAGAGAGAGGCAGGATCTGGTGGACATTAGAGTTTATTTTGATAAACGCTGTATTGTACTCAAAGTAGCGTACTGTGCACAGAAGATGACCTTCACATACAGAAAGCTGGAAACCTCATGCTGTGGAGCCTGGCTTTACACTTGGAGAGAATGAAGATTAGTTAATTCTGGTGGCAAGCATCACCTGGCTGGAATAGTGCAGGGTCCACTGAATTTTCTCTCCCAAACTGCACATAACAGTAAACACAATCAGGAAGGAACTGACACGTGTGCTTACCTGTCTTGTATGCAAAGGGATTGACCCACACATTACATAAAATCCTCATTTATTTTTGAGGTGAAAGAAGAAAGTTGTTAGCTCCATCTCTAAAGCTATAGACTTAAAATAGGTTTGATGAAAAATGATATGAGAGAGAGTAGCTAACAATTGCTATGAAGAATATACTATGACTGATGTGCTTGGATGTTTTAATAGGAGATGAAGCCCCTGCCCAAAGCCCAGATCCTGCAAGACTTTGCAAAGGTTCAACTATATATGTATGTGAATAGTCCCAATGACTTTATTCTTCAGAGTTAAGCAAGTATACAGAGTTAAGCATGTATGCCAAAGGATCAGGGATGTAGGCTACAGACAATGTCCAAGTGAGAGAATAAGCAGAGTATAAGGGTAAATAAGAACTGCTTCATGTCTTTGTTTTTTCTTCACTAAGAAGAATAGAAATGATGTTTTCTATGCTAAAGCTGTGGCTAATGAGTCATTCTGCTATAAATCCTTATTTAGGCTTCCACTTGGATAGAATAGACCCCCAAAATGTTTAAAAATGGAGTTGGGCGCTCTCCTCTCCTCCAAAAAGCAGAAAACTTTTGAATTAATATTCTGACCTTGGAGACATTTCAAGACTTAGAATTTAAACAATGCTGGAATTTAAAGGAAAATGCTACTAGCTGCTCGCATTTATTGATGCCCTTGGTTTGGCATACCATATGGATACTGCTGAGGGCACTTATACACATGCTGGGGGGGTTGGGGGTGAGTGCACTTTAGAGTGGCTCCAGATCTACTTTATTAAATGTGCCCAGAGTGTCACATGTATTGGTGCCCCTGTGCTGAAAAATGGTGGTGGGGGTGCTTTCATGAAAGTCTGTCAAATGAGCTTTAGTTAAAGTGCCCCTGCTGCTATTTTTCAGGCAGGGATACTGATGTACATGGTGCTGGAGTCTGCTGGAGTACTGTAATTACCATGTTTTAGCATACTCGATTAATTAAGTCTGCTCTGACATGCTGTAATTATAGCGCATCGGAGCAGCCTTGATGCATGTGTATAGGTGCCCTGGGTGTTAACTTGGTTCCTACAAACCTCTGGCTTTCACAAACTAGCTTGTTTGCTGGAATTTTGCTACAGTTGTTGGAGGAGTTCCTGTCCATGCATGAAACTCATGGTTGCATTATGTGAGTGGAAAGCTATTGAAATAAGTGTCTCTGCTTTCACTAGTACTGAATTTTGGCTCTGCAATGACTAATAAGGAATAATCGGGAACCATTAGCTCGTGACAGCAGTGAAAGGTGCACGTAGAACATGGGTCAAAATTTCCCATCCCACTCGAACTGAATTCTTTTCACCGTTTTGCTAATCTCTGCTCTTACTAAAAGCCTGTTGTGATGGCTCTGATAACCATTGTGTTTTGCCCTAGTTGCAGGGATGTTTATTGTATGAGGGCACCGTTTTAGTTTAACAGATGCCTGGAAGGCAAAATAAGGAATGGAAGGATGGCTCAAGACAGGCCACTTATCGAGTAAATACTTGAGTTCTGTTGGCTTTTAAGGATTTCTAGTTTCTTACCAGCTGACCTGAAAAACCAGTTTTCTTCAGCAGTGACAAAGCCCACATGAAGAGAAGAACAAAGGGAGCATGATACTCTAAAAAGGGTCTGTCTCCTAATATACAGGAGGGGGTGGATTGAGGGAGCTGGATTAAAATGGGGGTGTCTGAAAATCTTAGGGCTGCCTATATTCCCATCAGATGAGAATAAATTGCTGTACAGAGAAGGGCACAACTGCAGGTGCCAGAGTCTGCTCGGATAAGCTAGGAAAATACTGTTGGTACAGTGCTGCAGAGTGATGCCTGGTTTAGAAGTGGGAGAACTGCAGAAGTCCACTTTTGGATATAAATGCATGAAGAGACACCAGAGGTGATGGGCTTGGACAGACCTGAAAAGGGACCAAAAGTGAAGCTGACCCTTTAACTATGACAAGCATAATTGTGACTAATCCCTGAACTTGCATGTGTGCATGTTCTGATTACAATACTGAGATGTTGATGTTGCAGCTCCATCGAAGCTAATGGAAATCTATATGCTTATGTTTAGTGTTGGGCTTGATTTCAAATTCAGTCATGCTGAATTTCCAGAAAAGATTTCTCCAGCTTGGTTGGTCCATTCGAAACTAAGGATCCCTGTAATACTTAACCAATCTTCTTTACAGTCAAAGCAAAGCCCTGAGTGAAAGAGAAACATTTTAAATTCCTAACTTAGTTCAGCACAGTTTCTGGTAAAGGAATGACACCTGATCAAGTCTTCAAAAGCAGAACAAAAGAGCTTAGTCAGCACATCATTATATATGCTCAGAGTTACTGTATATTGGCATGACTCTTAAAAATAACAATTTTTCCCCACCCAGTTCCTATTTCAATGAAATACGGTACTATAGATTGAACAAACTTACAGAATTTCAAATGGCTAGCTATGTACAAAATTATGGTACAAGGTTAATATAAACATAATCAAGAAAGAAAGCTCATTTTAAAAAAAACAAAACAAAACAAAACACAATACTGCAGGCTTGTAATGTTAAAGCAAAACTTGTATAACTGCCTTTCACCATGAAGCAGACTCTAAATGTTCCACAGGTCTTTGCTAATGCAGAACCAGGGATATGCCAAATGACATGACTTCTAGTACAATCTATTCAGCTCTTTCTCCTGTTGTTTTCACAATCTAGAAACTTTATGCTGTCATCCACTAAGAGTTTATGCCCATGTCTATGCATGTGAGAGCATCAATGGCACCATCCACATGCTTAAAGTTAACCATGTATGAGTTGTTGCAGGACTGAGCCTTTGGAGTTCACTACAGTAATCCTTTCCTTTGACAGATATCCCTCTACCTCAAATGACCACAATGGTACTGAGTTCACCTGAATAGATCCAACATCAGTTACTGGTGTTGGGAGGTCCCTGGAGTGGGGCAGTAAGACAGATCCAGCTGGATACTAGTGAGAGTGCAATAAGTGCTTGCTTTACACAATTCAGTTTTGGAGACACTAAGTGCTCACTGCTGCAGTCATTTCTTTATCTGCACTCCCACAATTCTCAACAGGAATCTGGCCTGCAAACAGATTGGAGGGTTTGGCCCAAAGCAAAGTTTAACAGGGGCTTGAATCTATCGGCCCTCCACACACAAATCCCATCTGCTTCAGAAGTTCTGGGCATGGAGCACTTACAGTACCAGACCCTTGCAGACCTCTCCCCTAAGGCACATACTGAAAACAGTTAAGTCTCTTTCATCTGGAGTCCGTCTGCTAGATACAGATTCTGCAAAGAGCGATTAGTGAGACTGCTTTAGAAGAAGCTTTGCATTCCATCATTGCAATCGTTATTAATAGAGGAATTTCAGCCCCACGGCACTCGCTTCCCAGGGAACGGCAGCATTGCATGGGTTTGTGAGCAGGTTGCTTTGTCTTCCTTTATTTATTTTTCTGCCTTGCTGTGATACCTGTTGGGGGCAGAAATAACAAAAAACAATCAACAAGAAAACAACGCTGTGATCAGTAGCCCCTGGGTGTGTGTACGAGTCCTATATGTGGTGTGTTAGCTGGGGAAAACTGCTTGTATATCCATCAAATGAACCAAGCCCTCCCAGCACTTAAACTGATAAAACTACTACTGGCATGAACTCTCTGAAAAGCCCTCCTCCATGCACCAATATCTTGACTTTGGTTTTACTTGTTTCTCCATCTGTTGGTGTTGAGCCAGTCACACCCCAGATTCGGTAGGTCAGTCTATACATCTCATGAGCTCTGTGTTGAACCTAGAAGGAATATACTTCTAGGTTTTCAGCTGCATGTTAGTGAGACCCAGCAAGTTTAGGAATCGATACTGTTCACCCTGAGAAGGAGAAGCTCTCGGGGTTTCCATTGACTGGGACACTGATCTGTATGCAAATCTCTGTCCAAACTTCCATTCACTTCGCACAGAGCCCAGGGTCCTGCCCCATGGAGGTAACTTACACAAATGGGGTTTTTAGTGGGAACGTCATTGGGCCCTCAATTTGAGATTTAGTTGGTCTTAATGAAATCTGCCTGATGCATCAACTTCCAGAAGAAAATACTACTAAAATTTCACTGTTGAGGGTGTGGGTCTCAACTCATACCTTAGCTCATGTGAAGAATCCCTCCTGAGGGCGATGGGATTACTCATGTGGGCTAAGCACTGTAGGAAGTGTCCATGGGATCAGGATTTCCTAGGATGCTGTCTTCATTATTAATCAAATAAAATCCCATGAACAGGTTACAAATGTGCACAGCATGGCCTATGCTGTATACAAATCCAAACATTTGTGCTCAGGACAGTACTTCTACTCTAGTGGTAGATCAGAAAACTGTGCATATAAAAAGCATTGGATCCATTGCAGAAGGCAAGGTGGGCTTTTTAGGTCTCTGGTGTTAAAAAACCTTGAAAATGGAAGACCCAGCACAAGAGTTATCTTAACTTTTTAAGACTGAAGAAATACAGTCCTTTGCCAGTTGACACTACGTTTGCTAAAAGTTGCCAAATGTGTCTCACTTTTGTAACCCCTGATGAAATTAAGCTGGATTCCTTACTCGTGTGTGTGTGGGGGATGCAGAGGTTGTACTTGGACGTCTTTGAAGAGCAGTAGTGTGACGGGGACCCTAGTAATAGGTATTTACAGAAGATTGGGTTTTGTGTAGGAATTGCTGGGTGAGATTCTGTAGCCTGCATTACCCAGTTACAGTGGCTTGTCTTAGCCTCAAATCTAGTTCTGGGGATGTACCAAATCCTATCTTTATTGTCCCAGATACACAGCATGCTAAATCATTGGTAATGCAAAGATTTATCTCCGACTTCCTGCAAAAAGCTCTATGCAAGGAAATCGTTGTGCCCAACTGAGATCCAGTGACTTCAAAACACAGCAGTGGATTTCCTGAGGAAGAAGAGAGTCCTGAACAAAAACGGGTGCTCTGATTCAAGGCAAATCATGCCGTTATGGCCTACAAAATGAAAAGCAGCTAGGCAGCCTTTCCACAGAAAAGATGGGGATGGACATCTAGGCTCTGTCTCAAAGGAGATGATGATGAGTTGTGCTGGTTTCCTGGGTATGTCCTTATTCCCTCTTCTAGGTAATGTCTACTGCCTGTTAAGGTCATATTACTGCCATTTGTACTGAAAGGCAGATGTTGGTTGGTTAGGGGGAAAAAATGATGGCCAGAAAATTCTGTGGACCAGGAGCAAAGGGGCCTTTTTATTACCTTTTCCACTTTAAGTCATGTAAGCAAATGACAGGAACAGAGAAGAGGGAAATTGCCTTCAGGGTTAAGGGTTCACCCTTGCATTTGTCCTTTTCAACACTGAAACACTAGAGAGCGCTAAAAGACATGAAGCTGGGAGCCTGCCGCAGCTAAAGAGGAGACACCCTGAGTTATAATATGCCTCTGCTTTTTTTTATTCCTTCCTTTCAAGTCCTTTTGAAGCTTTTTCAGGCTTGATCTGAAGCCAATGAAGTGAATAGAGAAAGGAGGGCTGGATCAAATGCTTGGTATAATTCATGTGTGGCCTTCCTGTTTGTTCTAAGGCCAGTCCAAGGATCAACTAGTCTGCCTCAGTTTCTTTTTGAGTCGGGATTTCTGGGACTGGCTTGTGGGCATCTCCCTCTTGGACTCTTTTTCATTTTCATCTCTGAGCTCCTGATACTATTTGAATTAATGCCTGCTTTGTGTTGTAGTGACTGGCCCTCTTGAATCTGAATTATGGGCACTGTCTAGTGCTGCTGTTGTAAATCTTGGACTACCAGATACTTAGAGATGGCTCTGCCCTCAGTGCAAGTTGCACAAAGGTCTGGAGACGGGACAGCGACCAGGGCAGGAGTCTAAATGCACAGCGTTCTGGCCTAGTTCCTGATGGCCAGAGAGCAGGCCATAGGGTACTGATGCAAAAAACCCAGATAAAACATCTTGGTGGAGTTTCCTACGATGACGACTCCATCATCAACAAGAGCCCAGAAAGGAGAAGACACTTTAGTTCTCGGAGATGACTAGGACAGGATCCCCCACCCTTATGCAGCAAGAAACAGCAAATCCTGAGAAATGCATTTGTTCACAAAATAAGACAGACAGATTTCAGATTTGTTTAGTTTGTTTCATTATAGCTGTTTATGGGAATACAAAGGAAAGCACGTAACAATGGCAGTTCAGGACAGATTTTTTTTTGGTTTTACCCCCTTCACACTTCATTTGCCTACAGGGGCTCTTACTGTGGGGTAACCAAAGCTTTCTCAACATCAGGCTTGGTTGCTGTCTTTTAATATTTTTTTTTTTTTTTTTTTTTTGGGGGCCAAAAAACACAAGTCCCCGGGCTGCAAAGTTTGGG